AAAAAACTCTTACAAATGCCTTCCAGAATAGAAGGTGAAAACAAAGAAAATGTAGACAAAAATCACATGAAAGTATTCCAAAGAGAAGGAATAAAATAATATGGCAGAAATAAGGCCAAGTATAAACAATACATGCAATGAATGACTTCTTAGAAAACTATAAAAGTGGAACTGATTCAAAAAGCAAGAGAATATCTGAATAGTTTAATGACCCTGAAAAAGTAGAGAACATGGTCAATATTACCTCTACAAAGAATGGGAGGCTATATAATTTTATGAGTTGGTTCATTTAAAACATTATAAACTATTCCAGGGCATATAAAAGTAGAAAATTTTAGGCATTCTTGTGCCAAGCTGGGATAGCCCTACATCTGATTTTGACAGTACACAGAAGCTTACGGACCAACCTCCTTCATAAATGCAGGTGCAAAATACTGAAAAATACTCTCTGCAATGATATATGAGATATATTATATATATATATACATATATATAACAGAAACACTATATAACAGAATATACATATAAAACAGAATCAAAATAATTTCCACACAATTTAGGATTCAACTTAGTTTCTTTTTCATAGTGGTAGGACTGTAGAGATTCTGAAGCTATTATCCTTGTAGTTTAGTTGAGCAAATGAGAATAGATAACTGTGGGAGAAGAGAGATGGACATATTGGCAAGGAAGAGGCCTGTGGTGTTGGCTGGGGATTAGAGGTGTATTTTACACACACACACACACACTTCTTTTAGGTGTAGAAAGAAACAACAACAAAAAGGAAGGCATGATGATGGTATGAAGGCTCTGGCTTTGAGTCAAGAGGGCTACCAATAGCATCCCAGACTCATTGACTGTCTAAAGATGGCCAGGGTCATGTCATCCGGATCCTGAAGTTGGGGTGCCTTAGTCTTTCTAGAACAGGGTCAAAGAGTCTGGAAGCTGTTTTCATTGGCTTTGCAAAAAATAAACACCTCTTTGAGGTCCTTTTCAAATTCTGCCTCCAAGTCCAGTCCTATCTGACCAAAGTCGGAAGCCTGAAAGAGAAATAAAAGCAAACAGATGTCTAAGGACAAAGAATTAGGACCACCAAAATCACTTGCATTTTTGCATTTTTGGGGGGGAGCCCCTCCCTGCCTGTCCGGAATGCTGTGCTTCCCCAGTAGCCAGGCAGACTGCGCAGGGCAGGGGGAGATGCTGATACCACAAATATTGAAATGAGCGAGGCTCTGCCCGATTCCTAACTTGGACCTGACAGGTGGTCAGGACTGGAGAGCTGATTTTGATCACTGCAAAGCCTGAACTTGGGGTAAAATAGATAGAGATAAAGCATTTCTTGAAAGCCCAGCCTCTGAAGGAAAGATGAGCCTTCCATTCTCTGAGGCTGAAACTGGGCCAGGCCTGGAGGGGGCTCCCTGGGTAGACTCTCCTTCCAGCTCCACGTGCAGACACCAGTTAAAAATTTGTGGTTCATGAACATGCCAATTTGTGCCATGGAGGAAGGGAAGGAGGCTGGGTGGAGATGGAAATCTTCCTTAGATATCTCCCAAGAAATATCTACCCAAATGATAGTATAAATCAGGATAAACTCAATAGACTAAAGTTGACAACCCGTTGGCTTGCAAGATAACTCAACTCTTGCTACTGACAAAGGACAAAGCCAACACCATCTGAGGACAGTTCTGTAGGTTTGGGTCCCCTGGGGAATTTAGGAGTAAAAAAATACAAGCATGAGCATCCTGGGAGTTTAAGTTATTTCATAAAGTTTAATTCCTTCACTTATTTCTGTATTTCTGAGGCGTGGAAAACAATGCAGCCATGAACTACCTTTCCTCCCGGTTTGAACAAGGAGGCAGGATGAGATCGACTGTTCTCAGTGTGACTATCCCGCTCGTCCTAGAATCAGGGACGGATTTTCAGGCCCTGTTGACAAGGATTCTTCCCTGTCCTGCTTGCTGTCCTTTCTGAATTCCTCTCCACCCCTGGAATTTAGAGGCCGCTTTCTTCTGTAATCCCACTCCTTTTGAGCTCTCTCCAGGACGAGATTGGTACAATTCTCTCAATGTTCTGCTGCCCCAGAAATTAGGGAAAAATAGAAAGGAGGTGCAGAGGAAACAGGAGACACCCCTTACCTTGTAAAATGCTTTATGGTTGCGAAAAATCAGGCGCATGTCGCGAACAAACCACGCCACTGTGTACACTTTCTCAGTCAACCGTTCCTTAACCAGGTCCAACCACATGGCTTCCTTAAAGGGCTCTCCATAATCTCGAATCTAGGGACAAAGCCACCAAAAGGGTGATATTAACGCAGCCATTATTCCTGGAAGGGATCCAACTGAAATACAACAGAAGTGATGATATTAGCATCAGACTCGTCTATGCCAGGCACCGCTCCGAACACCGCCACTAGGTTAGCATATGATCCTACAACAACCCTATGAGATAGGTCCTATAATTACCCCCATTTTCTAGGTGAGGGAACCAAGGGAGGGAGACGTTAAACAACCTCTCCAGGATTTCACAGCTAAAAAATGGTAGAGGTGGGACTTGAAGTCTCCTGAGAAGGTGCTCTAAACCCTCTGCTGTCTGTAAGAAAGACATTCCCACTGAAGAGCAGGCGAAACTGAGGTGCCCGGGAGGCGGAGCTAGTTGCCCGGGGTTCCCAGAACCAGGACGCGGTGGGTGGAGTTTGAACCGGGTTGTCCCCCTCCAGACTCTGCAACTAAACCTGCTCTCTGCAAACAGCAGTGCCCTTAGGAGTCACACTCCCAAATTCCAGAAGGAGCTTTACATAAAAGAGATGCCCGGAGGACAAGAATCATAAAATGTCACTTACATTAGGTGGGGTTTCTGCAAAAAAGGAGCTTTGTGGATGACAGTAGGCCTTCAAGAGGAGGAACTCACATTTCTGTAAAATGTGAAGAAAGCTTTAAAGGGAAATGCAGCTCGGAGAAAGCGAAGCCAGACCCGTGCCCAGACAGACGGGCACAAGCAGGAAGAGCCAGACACAGCCAACCGTCCAACCACATTTGCCAAAGAGCCGTGGGGTGTGTCGAACTCTGCTTGGACTCTGTTTGGGCACCGAATCGCCATCCTCGGAAGCGAGACACTGCAGGCTCCCTCAGGTACCCATGGGCGCCCTTCCCTTCCCCCTCTACCTGTTGGACTTCTCACATGTCCGGGGTAAGGAGAAGGCTTGGGGTTGGCACCCAACTCACCAACTGCTCCTCAGGCTGCATCTGCCTCTCCAGGGCCTCAGATTCCCCGTGACACTGCTGCCTTCCCGAAGACTCTTTTATCCTGCAGAAGGTGCAACTCCATGGGCTCCTGAGAGGTCAGGCATAAGTGAGCAGGGACCAGGCCCCTGGAAATAGCCCCTGTTCCTATGGCTGCCACCATCCTCCTTTCAGGCATGGCCGATGGACACAGCTGGGAGATGAAGGGGACACCTCCCAGAGTCTCCAAGACCCCACGTGGGGCCTGAGCCCCCGACCCTCCTCCCATGGAGGGTGGCAACAGGGGGTTCAGTGTGTGCAGGGTGGTGTCAGGGTGAGTGGTGGGCTCTCCTCTCCCCAGCTGAGCTGCTGGGAACACAAGGCGCCCTGCCTGTCACACCCAAGTGTCAAAACTGGGCCTTAACCCCTGGGGACCTAGGCTTCTATCAGCCCGTCGAGCCCGTGGTAAAATGCATGAACCAGGCCACGTTTCCTGCCTTGTCTGAAAAAGCACAGAACATAAACAGCTGGTGTTTCCCATCCTCAATCCCCAGGGACAGGAGTCAGGGTCGTAAAACTAGGAGAGGACACTACCCAGGGGCAGTGGCAACGTGGAGTCAAGGTGGCTCAGTCACAGACTCAGAACCAGAGGCTGTCATGATACCACACGGAACCCAGACTGCTGCCCCATCCCGAGACTCCGGGTCACACCTGAGCCACGACGCTTACGGGTCCTGCTCTTCCGCCTGGAGTTGAGCCACCAAAGGCAGAGCCCGGGCAGAGTCTGCGTGCAAAAGGCAAGGCTGGGTCTCACTAACCTCTCCGCCTCTGCAGACGGGATGTGACAGTCCTCATGAAAGGCTCTTGGACAAGTGTCACAGCAGAGCAGTGGTCCCCCTCTACAGCACACCTCACATTCCTTGGAGTTTTCCCACTGGAAGGGGAGATAATGCAGCAGCTCTGGGATCAGCACTGACACCAAGGGGCTTTGGAACACACCATCCTTGTGTGTTCCAGAGTGGATGTTTCCAACCTGCCTGACCGCGGCGCTCCGGGAGAGTGCTGATGGAGGGCGAGCCTGGCTTTTCCAGTCGCAGAAGGGCTAATGGCAAGAATCATCAAGCTGCCCCTTGAACCACACCTGTCAGAGCTGGAAGGGATGGAAGGTCCTTTAAGCCCTTTCTACACAAAGTGTGGTCTGAGGACCAGCTGCATCAGCATCACCTGGGAGACATGCAGACCTACTGAATTGAAATCCATTTTAACAGGATCCCAGATGGCTTGGAAGTACATGAAAATTTGAGAAAACACAAAGCTTTAGGCAACCTCCTCATTTTACAAGTCTGGAAAGACGAGATGCTTTTTTTTTTTTTTTTTCCTGCAGAGTCAACACAACTTAATACCTGAGCCAGACTGGCACCCAGGCTGCCTGTGCCTGGGTTCAGAGCTGTTCTGTCCACTGTGTGTCATCCCAGGCAAGCATGCTGGGCAGACCCAGAACAGTTCCTGACATTATGGCCAACAAACAAACATAAAGACAGAGAGCTGCTGTATAAATGGGTCTTTTTGTGGGCCTTTGAAATCATTGTCTTTCTCATGGCCTTCAATTGTGAACCAGTAAATTTTACAAGTGATCTTTACTGCTGGATAAAGACCTACAGGCAGGAGCCCCTGGTTCCACTCCTGACCCTGCAAGATGGACAGTGGGGCTCCACACACAAGGACATGTTTTCTCTGCACGAAAGGTAGGAGTCAGGAAGAGGCATCTTTCTAGGTGGTGAAAAGGTGGGAAATAGACCATCAGGAGCTGGAGCAAAGGACTGAAGGAGCTGGGGATCAGTCATATCTAAAAGAGAAATCCTGCCACTACCCTCAACTGTCCACAACAGAAGTACAAGGACCTGGGTAAGGGCATAAGGGATGGAAATGTTTTGTCCATTCTCAAAACTAGCCACTCAGAGGGGTGCCTGGGTGGCTCAGTCAGTTAAGCATTTGCCTTTGGCTCAGGTCACGATCTTGGGGTCCTGGGATCAAGCCTTGTGTCTGGCTCCCTGCTCAGTGGGGAGTCTATTTGTCCCTCTCTCTGCTCATGCTCACTCTCTCAAATAAACAAAATCTAGCCACTCAGCCAGAGTAAAAATTCCCCTTGACTTGGGGATGAGTTCATCTCTGTCTTAATTGGGGAGGCTTCCTGAGCAAATTCCTCTACTTACAGGGGCCCCAGGACTCCATAAAGAGGGCTCCCCACCAGCCCTGAAGTTCAGGTGATCTTTCTGGCCTTCCTATCCTGAACTTCCCGGTCTGCTTTTCTTTGTCCCTGGAATTGACACTCTATGGCCATTCTTGCCCTCTGACTGGCCTGCCCAGGTCCAGAGTGCAGACCCCGGTTCCCCAAGTAGCCCATACCTACCCACTTCTCCTAGTTGAGACCCCAGTTGGATCCAGAGCCCCAGCCCCTCTGTAGTGTGAGCACTGATAGTTTTTTTTTTTCCCTTTTTTTTGTAATGCAAGTGCCTAACTGAAGCCTTGATTGCTCCAGCACCCCGATAAACACAGCTATCTTGCTATTTCTCAAGTAAACATTTCCAGCCACACAACTAGATAAAGAGCCAGGCCACCAATCCTCACTGAGACTCCTTTGTTTTAGGGATCTCGGTTCATTTCAATAACTGACTATTTGGGCCACTTGTTTGTTTTTTAAATTTTTTTTTAGATTTTTATTTATTTGAGAGAGAGAGAGAGCAGGGGGAGGGGCAGAGGCAGAGGGAGAAGCAGACTCCCCACTGAGCAGAGAGCCCAACACTGGGCTGATCCCAGGACCCGGGGATCATGACTTGAGCTGAAGGCAGATGCTTAAACCACTGAACCACCCAGGTGCCCCTGGGCCACCTTCCCCCCCCCTCCCACACTTTAAATTCTAGCTCTTATGTTTTAAATTCGCCAATAAAGATGGAGCCAGAGAAACCCTAGGCCCCCACCCTCTACCCCAATAAAGGCAGAACCTCAAACCTATGCTCATTCCCTCTCTCTCTCTACCTCTTCTTCTACCTCTATCTGTCTCTCCATCTATCTCTCCACAGCCTCACTGTATGGCCCCAGATGCACTTTGTAATTTCCAGGTCCTGTAAATAATAAACTTTTTTTTTTTTTCCAGTTTCCTGATGCTTAGTGCTGGAGGGCATATTGTGATTATAATAAGAACCACAAAGGCTGGTCCAACTACAACATTGGTTATTGATAGGCTGTGACTAACACAAAACACCCCCTTCCCTAGGCTCTGGAGTGGAACAGTTTCCAACACACGTGATATGACAGAGAAAGAGAGAAAGGACTTACAGCTCCACAGCCGCGTTCTGACTCTTGCTTTTATGTTTGATGTCTGACAGCTTCAAGTCCCACTCCTCCCTCTTTCCCTTTTGCCACATCAGGGCGGCCACTGGCTAAGGAAGCTCATGGGCTCCCCCTCTTGGCCCCAGTGAGAAGTTCAAACCAGACAAGCTCTGCCCCCGCAAGGGAATTCTCACCCTGCCCCCCCCCCCCCCCCCCCCCCCCCCCCCCCCCCCCCCCCCCCCCGCCATAATAAAACCTTGGGCTACTCCCCCTCACTACTCAGGCCATTTTCACAGCAGCTTGGGAGACAGCCCTTCTCTCCCTAGAAAGCCTCAGTATGTGAGTAATAAATCATTCCGTACTCTCTTGGTGCATGTAGTGCATCATCAGTTTTGATATCTGGACCCAGTTTTTGGTGTAGGGCTGATCCCACTTCCTTGCCGGCAATCAGAAGACAACTGGCTCAACAAGCAAGGAGTCTCAGTGACTGGGGTCTGTATTCTCTTGCTCTGGCTTGCTAACTGGTTCCACTAACTGGCTTATGCTTTAGTGTTGCTGCCTGCTGGGCCATGGCACTGAAGTTGCAGTCATCCACCATGAGGCACCATTCATTCTTCCCAAGTTTAAGAACAGGCCAAACTGGGCAGTCAAATAGAGAAACAGCAGAGGTAATCACTCCTGTTTGAAGTAGATCTTGTATCATGAGTTTTGATGCTTGAAGTTTATACTGGATTCTACTAACTCTTTTAAGAGAGGGAAAGGTCCATGGGTTCCATTTTTTTTTAAGACTGATTGTTATGTGTCAAAAACTTTATTTTACTTCATTATTCATTGGGTAAGAACATCCATGCCCACTGTGGGATATTTTAGAGCAATGAGTATTATGAGCATGGGGCATTTAGGCAAGGCAACAGTTTTGATGGTTAAAGTGAGGTTTACCTGTTTGTCCTCTATTTTATCTTTGGTAATGCCCCTAAAAGTATAGAGGGTAACTTGTTTAAATTTAGTGGGATATAATTACCTGCAAAGGAGCTCCACCCATTAAGGTCCTTACACCCAGTATTATTGAAATTACTGACACCAACCGCTTGGCAACTGGCAAGTGTTTCGCTGTCCCAGATTTGGCTAGGAAGTTCTGCTTTGTGCCTCTTTCAACAGCATCTCAGCTGCAGCTTGCCATCACCTCTGTAGGGATACACCATTACTTTTACATGGTTCCCTACAGCACCTCAACAGCTTTACCATCACATACAACCTCTGCAGGCAAGATCTTAACTACATCCTACTTTCCCCAGGAGCACAAATATAACACCACATTGATGACATTGTTTTCATTTGACATACTCATTCAGAATGTATAATTATTCACAAAGGAGCTCACAAAAAGGGATAGGCCATTATCTACACACAGCGCAAGGCCCCATCAGCTCAGCAAATTTCTGGGCATTATTTGGTCATTTGAAGGCTTCTCCATCCCTGAAACTGTCAAGAAACAATTGTTGAAAAACCCTCTCAATACCCGTGACTATTGCCCAACATCTTTACGCCTTTGAATTCAGGGTAACATGTTCCTCATTTATAGATTTTACTTATGTCCATGTACGCTTACTTGTAAATTGGCCTACTTTGAAGAGAATCCCTTTAATCAAAGGCTCTAGAATCTGTCCAGAAAAAAAGGCAAATAAACTGTTCTCCTTAGTTCCCACTATACACCATTCGAGTAGCCACTGCTGTCTTCATACTGGGCCCTTCTAGAGATGGAGGCTCTCGCAGGCCCTGAGCCTATGACTTTGTACCAGCTGCTCATTTTACCTTGGGTTATGGGAGCAGCGTCCCCCAGGGAAGTCACAAAACATATGTTTGGAGTATCAGCATCAGGTTTCTTGATAGTACACAGAGACAAAGATAGACACCAATGGAGACAGGGTATGTTGCTGAGCAACAGTGATGTATTAGATAATGTGGCTGAAGAAAAGGCCTGCATTCATCCGTTTGTAGTCATTACAGATTATCTCATTATCCCAATGTGGCTGCTAATAGACAGTACCGAAATGTCGGGTCAAGTGTGCTTCTGACTATAATGTGCTGAGCGAGAAGGAACTATAATATTGGGGCCATTAATTAATGCTCTGGATTTAAAATATCTTTATTGTTTTGTTTCCTGGTTACAAAAGTAATAAATGGTCATTATAAAAATTCTACTTGTACATAAATGTATAATATGGAAGGCAAATGTCCCATATAATCCTATCCCAAAATAACCAGTTCATTCAGATATATTTTCAATCATAGACCTACATAGTCACATAAACAAGATTGGGCTCCTTCTACTGCTACTACTATTACTAGTTTAAGCTTCTGAAAGCTTTCTTGACCTTAGACCCTTTGGGTGGTTTTCCATTGACTGAGGAGGCGTCTATACCCATGCATTTTTTTTTAAACACATTTAGTAGATATATCAGTTTATTTTATAATTATGATGGGCATTTGCATTCTTCCCTAATTTTTGGTTATTACAAGGAACACCCCTGTACACATTAAGGTATTTCAAATCAGCATGGAAAAGATGTTTTATACAATAAACAGCTTTGGGAGACGCCTTGTCTTTTTGAACTTTGAATGAATCCAGCCAAGGGTCAGGCCAGCCTCCAGGGTAACATGCGAAAGGCACCATGGGAAGTTCATGAATGAGATTTGTGTCTGGAGGACATATTTAAGCAAGTGAAGAAGGCTGAGGAGGAGCAGCTGGTGCAGACAATGATGACTGCCATTTCCACCTGGAGGGATGCTCTGCCGAGACAAAGCTCAGTTCAAACACTATTCCATTTTGCTGCTACTGATAATGAGCTCGTTGAACTGAGGAATAGTTGTGTTCAATCAAGGATGGTCGTCTTACTCTTTCACATACTGTTCTTGTCTACCTCCATTTCATAATTACTTTTCAAACTAGAGCACTCTATTTCTGACACCTTTTATTTGTATTCATCCAAATATCCAAGTCTAAAACACGTAAATCATCAGTTTTTGTCCTAGTCTTCATTTTAAGAGTTATTTGTGTCCCCATCTCAAATTAACCATGAAACTATGATGGCACATACATGTATCAGTGTGCCAATGCCATTGTCATGAAGACGCAATGCCTGAAAGGAAAGGTGACCCAGGGCTGGGGGACTTGAGGACTCGAAGGTGAGCCTTTGGATGCAGAGAGTCTGCAACAGGGTGACTGAAAATGTGGTAGAAATTCATCTGCTCTTTACCTCTCTCTTGACACTTATTCTTGGAGGACAGAGCAAAAGTCCTTTCTGAAAGAGAGAAGGGGCAGTGAATGAGGTTATTCTAGAGGCTCTTCTTTTGTCCACATCGAAGTTCCCACTTCCTAGTGAATATTTGTACTTGGACATCCTACTGGGTCTCAAACCCAAGGTGTCTGAAAAAAACATTAGCTCCATCCTCCAATCAGTTCTTCTTCTGGACTTCACTTGATAAAATCATTTTTTTCCCATTACTCAAACCCAAGACCCATTAGTCCTTCTTTCCCAGTTCTTTTCTCACCCACTTTTCCCCTCTCCATTTCTCCTTCTGTAGGTAAAGTCCTTATGATTCCATCACAGTGATAACTTTTTGAGTGTTTTGGGGAGGCTTTGTGTTGGGTTCTGGGATCACAAAGACCAATAGCCTTGTTTGTTGCTCACAGGATAGTGTGTGAGCTAGGGAAGTACAGAGGAGAGACTGCCCACAGACAAGGTGGTCTGGAAAAGTGTCACCCAGGCGTCCAGATGGAGCTGGGTCTGGAAGAGGCCTTTATTGGGCAGAGGGTGCAAGGAAGCTCTCGGAGGTCTGTGTCTCCATCTGGCTTACTCCCAGCTCACCCCATCCAATATCCCCAGGCTAAGCTTCTTAAAACTCTCCTGACCTCACAACCCTTTGCTCACGTTTAAAGTTCTCCGCCGCGGGTACCACCAATCTGCGTTCCTAACTTTATCACCCACAACTTTTTTCTCTGAAAAATCTAGCTCTTTCTCAATCATGCTGTGGAATCCCAATGGAAATTCCTTCACATTTCTGTTATTGAAATTCCACTTATCCTTCAAGGAATTAAACCCGTCACCCATCTGTTCCCTGTCAAATACCTTCAGCAGCTCTTCTAAGGTCTTTCCTTTGCAATGCACAGTCTGCTTCCATTTCCTTGTATTTGCCCGTTTTCCTTCGATTTCAAATTCTTTTGGTGTGAACCAGACCCCTGCCTCATTCCGAATGCACTTCTCTGAGGATCCTGTAAGATAAAGACGGCCCATTCCCAGATCTAATTTCATTCTCTGTGAATTAACCCTAAACCTCAAATCCCTAACTGTGGTTGTTCCACCTGCCTGGGTGGAGAGAAACTTCCTGTGGGGAGGGAGCAGTAGCAAGGGAGTCTGGATTCCTTCTGTCTCAGACTGAAGGAAGCCCTGAAGCCTGCAGGAGTGGTGTGGCAGTGGGAGAGGATTTGCATCTTATGTGACATCTACACGTGGCAAGTAGAGCCACTGGGTCCATGGATGACTTCCACGTGGGAGTGGAGTGGCTCAGCTGCCAGGTTTACCATGATACAGAAAAGTGAAAATTCTTTCTTAATAAGCACTTCTTTCTCTGCAGCCTAGCTTGCAGGGTTTATTTCCTGGATGATTAAACACATGGGTATTTCCCTCTCTTCCAGTGGTTCTAGGGGTTCCAAAGAGCAGAAGACCGAGAAACCCACCTTGTTTCAATTTCTCCTTATATAAAATCCCTTTGGCTTCACCACAGGTCACAGGAAGTTCAGGAGAGAGAAAATCCACAGTTTCATCTTCGGGTTTTTCTGAAAGAAGAAGGGAAAGTAGAAGAGTGTAGTGTTGCTCAGTCTTCATTCTATCTCCTTCATGGATTCTCCTTTCCCTAAATTTTGATAATAGTAATAACAACAATAATCATGTAAATGGCACTAGAGGGCAACCTCTGGTTAACTGGCAGAAGGTCTTCCATTTTGAGTGGCAGATTAGCTAACATGGACAGAGCAGTTTCCGATCAACAAAACCATCACCACCAACACTACATCAAACAAAATGTTTAGTAAAACATATAGGGCTTCTTTGGTGAGTGGGTTTTAATTCATAAGCTAATTGGCCATCACCTAAGTTTCCTTTATTCCATAAGCATCCTGCTTATCTCTCTGTGCTGATAGAAGTTGCCTGCTCAAAATATTTTGTGGTGCTCATGTAGCTGGAGGAAAGGTCTTTGTCTATAATCTTATCTCCTGATTTAAACCAAGGCAGGATGAGTGAGGTGCTTAGTGTTGAGGTATTACGGTCAGTCTTCATTTTTTGCTGTCCTTTTTCATTTTATTGCTTTTCTGTTTCTTCCTCTATGAGTAAAAAAGAAAAACCCCAAGAACTCTAGACTAATCTGCGAATTGCACATGGAGAGATTTGGCAACTGTGAACCCCTGAGTAGGGATGTGGGATATTGATTCAGGAGAAGCAGTTGTAAAAGAGTTTAAAATAAATATCAGCAATTCCTGCTTCTTTTTGCTCTAGCCTCACTGTGGGTGGGTTCATTCCAGATAGACTGCAGGAGCTGTCTCCAGGGGCAAGGAGAAAACTCTGCCCATGGCTTATGTTGCATTATACAGGATATTACTTGTGGAATAAGGCTAGGTGAACAACGAGTCCAACTTTCTCTCTTGCCTCAGATACTTATTAAAAGAGCCAAAAGGAGGGGTGCCTGGGTGGCTCAGTCAGTTAAGTGTCTGCCTTCGGCTCAGGTCATGATCCCAGGGTCCTGGGATCAAGCCTTGTGTCCAGCTCTCTGCTTGGCAGAGTGCCTGCTTCTCCCTCTCCCTCTGCTGCTCC